GTAGACCGCTCTGCGTCCGCATAAAAGAACACCTAGTCGGTAAATCTAAATTAAAACAAAATACTCCACTAGGCGCGCATAGGATGCAAGAACACAACGGAGAAGATTTTGAGGTAGGAGTCACTATCCTTACGCAGGAATCGAAAACATCAGCGCGTAAAACTCTTGAAGCCTTTTGGATCAATGCCAAAAATTCAAAAATGAACCGCAAGGAGGAGTGTCTTGTCATCACGCGTGACCTGGCGCCATACCTCAGGCTGATCCAATGACCTGACATGGACACATTTATCGACCATGTATTACTCTGTGCGGCGGCTATCCACCAACTAACTTAAATACTTACAACAAATAAACGGTAGGTGTTTGAATGAAGCTGTTTCTTATGCGAATGCAAATCGAATTGTCAAGTTTTATCTGCTAGGGTTGTGAAAGTGTTTGGCTGAGTAGATCACATCTCAATTTGACCTTTCCAGGCTCTGAAGAAGGCGAAACCGCCGAAACGTCAGCAATTGTGTTCTAATAAATCCTATATTAACAACCTCGTGTCTGCTTATTGATGAAAAACATTGAATTCTGAGATATTTGCAAAACTCCGGACCGCAGGTGTATGCGGTGGGGAACGATCGCTCGCTATTGTCCTTGCCGGGAGTGCCATCCGGGTGGTGTGGTGGTGAAGTGCACTACTCCCATCCGGGTGGTGTGGTGGTGAAGTGCACTACTCAAAGTGCACTTTAATGTATACATGGGAAATCCTACGAATGAATAGATTAACAAGGGTTCAGCATCTGATGGTATGTCACCAATTTGTCGAGCTTTGTAGTTTTCGAAAGCACTTTTAAGGTGTCAAGAAAACGTTGAGTACAAATCACTCATTAATTTTAGCGGTTTGGTTTTCACAGCAGTTTTTCGATGATCTTTTGTGACAACTACTTTATTAAGTTTCTAATCATAAGCTTAATTACCACATTTTTGGACAGTGTGGTTTGCACAGTACGTGTTCGAAGTTAATTTAGTTTTTCATTTTTAAATAAAGGTAGTAGTGAGCTTTATTAATTCAAACAAGATTCATTGAAACGAGTAAGTTTTTGCAAGCTGGGCACAATTTTCCTATCTAACCACGACGAAATTCCGATTTTCTGGAGCACGCAAATCATTTTCTTTTTCTGTTTTGTTCATAGAGCGAACGGGTAGCATAGTGGTAGATGGTAGTGATCTCGTTCATTCCATGGACGCCCCAAGCTACCCAGACCCTGGTTCGACCTTGTTCCGAAACCACAAAGCCACTAATCCCTACAGGGTTGTGAAATTGGTACTAGTCTGGGACAAACTCATGTCCTTTAATTCCACGCGACAACCCCCCACCACGACTATCTGGGGATTCCAGAGAGATTCGACTGGACCAACATTTAATGGCATTTGTGGCGAAGAGGAAAAATCCTCAAGCAGCTACTGTATCCACACACAATAAAAGCTCGAAGACCTTCGTGGATGATGGATGCGAGGAAGCGAAACGAATGCAATAAGTGCTGGGATGCGCACATTGTGATACATATGATGTCGGGTCGCTTAATAATAACTTAAAAAAAATGTTATCATTCAAGGCTCGTGTTTTGCACAACTAAGTGATTGAACCAGCGCGATTTTGACCGCTTTGGCATGGTGATATTCCAAACCGCATCGTTGATGCTTACGGCATCGCGACGGTGTAAAATACTCTTGGTCTCGGATTTTCAATGTTTTAACTTGTTAGAGTTTGTAAGAGTAACCAATAATCAATGCGCTTATCTAGATAATCACAGAGTCCAAAGTATACACCAGAGTACGTAATCATTTGAGCGCAGTAAAATAGTCATCAGCATGCTTCCATTTTCTTCTATATCAGCATTTATAAATTTTTTTCTTCGTCAGACCTTCATAATGATGGCTACTGGAGATATGGAAGAAGGAAGTGCTGATACTTTGTGCAGCACAGCAACAAGTAGAAATCAAAGCACTTCGTCTCGTTCTGTTACCGTTGCTCGTGCCCATAGACACAATGAATTCAGCACTCGTCAACAAGCGAGAAATGGTACGGCTTCTACAACGACCTACGTTACCGCTGCTGCTCAAGATGAGAATGTAAGCTGTTTTCATGATTGTACCCATGCTGTGTTTCAACTGGATTTTGAACTTCGGTTTCATATTTTGAGATGGTACCATCCTACGGATAAAATAGAGCAACTTTGATAGCGTAAAAGCCTATTACATTAATTGCAAAATCTCAACTGTTTGATTATTAAGTAGTATGTATTTTTAGCATGTCCAAACACGGTCGAGTCAAAAACGAGAAGGAGCTGGATGCAAAGGAGGTAGAGAAAAAGTGATGTTGTCTACTAAACGGACGCGCCATAGCTAGCTACGTCCTGCTATATTCAACGCTTTCTTCATAAACGGATAGGTTGCTTAATAATCTTCTATCAGTTGTTCAAATTCGGGTTTTTTCTATATCATTTTGGTGAAAATATGACCTATGTAGCGCTTAAACTTTCTCAACAGGTTATTTTGTTGCCCAAATTTTTCATAGCGATTTTTTTGAGTGTTAGAAAAAGATGTTTTTCACTCTTCAAAATTCACATTGCAGTTCTTATTTACCGTTTGCGGAGTGCATTGTCAACCGACAATGTGTTCTGAGTAACAGTAGCTTTCAAAACCATTGAGGATTGATCTTTTATTTTTAACCTAATTGTGTAGACGTCGTGGTCAAAGAAACAAAGCTTCCTAGTTGGCTATTTGGATAGTCTGTTTTCACGATTAGTACGGACCCCAGCATGTCTTCCATTCGTTTCTTTCTTGCGCAGTAGTCGTCCATGGTGATGATTTGCGTCGAACATGGTGTTGTCCATGGGTCACATTCTGTAATTCGGAAATTGCTACCATCTGCGAATTCAAATGGATGTAAGCTATGAACAAGTCCTTCCGTCATTTGGGTGGTCTTCCAAGAGGCCGGTTGCATTCTATTGAACTCCACTCTATTGTTCTTCTTCTCCATCTATCATCTGTTGTTTTTGTCATTTGACCGTCCCATCTGTGCTTCGTTCGTGATGTATTTTTTCTGGATCTTGAAAATGAGATAGGTTTCGATGATCTGAACTGTGCGTGCCGGCTAGACGTTCGGAGTGCCGGTTAAATTTCGGAAGACATTATTCAAACGTTCTGTGAGTGGTGCGCAGATCTTTTGACGTTGAAATACCAGCTCACTTCTCTGCTGCATAACCGAGCAGTGGAAGGACTGTTGAATAAAAAAGGTGGAAGCATAATTTCCGTATGCTAGTTGGTCACTGGCTTCTTTGAGAGGCCCGAATGCGACCCATGCTGCACTCCTTCTCCCGTGGCATTCTTTTGTGTTGTTCTTCGTGTTCATTAAACGTCCAAGGTACCCTTAGTACATGTTGGTCGCTGTACTTATAAAACCATCCTGAACCAATTCCAAAAATTTATTCCACGCTTCGCCTTTTTCAATCATTGTCAAAATATTTTAAGCAGAAATGCTTTCTCCATTGACTTTATTTATTGTTGATCGTCGTGGTACGTGTTGTAGCAAGAGTTTAGATTCTTACATTAGTTTTTTAAAATCTCTACTCTTTGTTTAACGTTTTGTTTTCTGCCTTCTATAATTTTCATGGCAGGTTACTAAGCGAAATACAACCACAACGTTGCTGAGATATTTGCAAAACTCTGGACCGCAGGTGTCTATGGTGGGGAACAAACGCGCTATTATTCTTTCCGGGGAGTAACGCGTTCACCACCACACCATGCGGGTCCTTCGTTTCGCCTGTCTCTCAGCGTTCGTTCCCCACCATAGACACCTGCGGTCCAGAGTTTTGCAAATATCTCAGCAACGTTGTGGTTGTATTTCTCTACTCTTTCCTAATTTTTTCAGTTTCTTATAAGAGCGAACGGACCATCTGTGCTAATGGGGTGGTCTCATCGACTTAACCAGTCAAGGGTGTAATACATTATTAGTTTGAAGCTACCTCTATTTAGATCTTGAAGTCTTTAACCCTTGCAACTTGGTTGTTTGCATATTGTCACAATAAGTGTTCCATTCGTTCAGCAAGCATTTCAGATTGACTAAGTAATCATAAGAAAAAGGAAGGAGCACCCCACCTAATCACTGGCATCTATAAACACTAGTGCACAGGACCAACCTTGTATTAATGGGTAGACCACTCTTTGTCCGTATAAGAACACCTAGACGGTAGGCGTAAAGTCAAACAAAATATTCCACTAGACTCCTATAGGACAGGAAGGAATAAGGGAGAAGATTTTGAAGTAGAACTCAACATCCTTGCTCGGAGTTTTGAAATTTCGACATAGAACCCTTGAAGTGTTCTGGATAATTTTCAAGAATCCAAAAGTAGGCCGCAGAGAGGAATAACCTGTTATCACGCATGATCTCGCCTTATATCTCGGGTTGATTTTTTGACATGAGAGAGGCATATTCACCACTCGTGTAGATTTTGTGCGGATCCTCTCCGTCGATAATAAAAGTAAGAAAGTAAGAATCTTGGAAATCAGAGAGTATCTGAAGGAGCTGTTCCTAGTGCAATTGAATCTTAGGTTTCTCGTTTTTCGGTTGAGGTTAGTGAAGCTTTTGATTGACTATATTGTACATCAACTTGATCTTTTCAAACTCTAGCTCGTGTCTGAACATTAAGAAAGTACTAAGATGTTAATCTTCTCTGTTTTTTCCTTTCCTTTTTTTTGGTGGTAGCTTTAGATAGACTGCCGGGCAGTCTTGTTTTTCCACTTTATAACCAATTAGAACGATTAATACTGCTTTTGGTTACCGTATTTTCGGCGTTTGCTGGACAATTCGTTTGAAGAGTCCACTCAGGTTCCTCTATGTAAGAATCACATGGTTCTGTTTGTGGATTAAGCGTCGGATTCGAAGATAATTTTATGCTAGTTTTTTGGGTACACTCTTTCATATAGGAACCATTTGTGGTCTTAGTCACCATTAATTTGTTTCCGTTGATTGTAGCTCTCATTATCTCTCGAATGGAGGTGAACCAAAAACTTTTCGTTTTTGGTTTGGCATAACCTCAGATGTAGTAGGAATGTTTTCTAAGGTCCGACAGGGACTCCAATAATCATTCATTTAGTTCTCTTATAAAGGTTAGCCCTCTTAGACTTCTCTCGATCTAGATCTAGTTAGATCTATCGGTTGCTTCACCAGCTATTGGCATTTTTCCGACTATTTAGCAGTCAGCTCCAAACTGTCATTCATAGTTCATAAAAATGTGGCTATTATTGTTCATATAAGCAGGTCTTATTCTACTTCAGATTGTCTCTTATTTGAAAATCTAAAGGCGAAATGGTTAGCGCAGATTCACCACAACAAACATGGAAGATGCAAAAAAAAATTACTTGTGCTTAAGAAACATAAATATGCTTAGGAATAAAACGCTCAAAATATGTGCAAAAAACTAAATTACAGTACTAAGATACGGTAACAAACGAGTTGCGTTTTAAATTTGGACTACTGCAAGGGACCAATGAGAAATGTTTAGGTTGAAGAGCTGGGAGAAAAACCGATCACCATTCCACCTGAATGGTGATTATCGAAAGCCGCCAATAAGGTGCAAATGTCCACTTGAATTTCACTGTGATACGTGTTGTATCCTTATTGATAACGTTGTTAAGCTGCACAAGTGCAAATCTGCTGATCTGTCTGATTTGTATACTTCATATGTGCTAGTGTCAAACTCATCTCTTCTGCCATTTTTATCCCAAGACAGTAATCAAGGAAATTCATGACCTTAAGTACTTCCTGGAACCATGTTAAGTATTTGAGGTTTTGAGCACCTGAGCATTCCTAATTTAAGCCGTTTTCGTTTCCACTCCTTTGATTGTTTTCAGAAATATCTTGAATTTTAGCGCACGCAGACCCAGCAGCGTGAACATAACCTCTTGACACTTCTTCATTTTGGTTCCCACCACCATGAACATGACCTATTGACCACTTTTTACTTGGTTTCCATTTAACTGAACTGTCACGTCGACACCGCTCGTTTGTACATAATATACTTTCCGATCTCCTACCTTATGAAGACCTGAATCACCTAGCAAGTCATCCGTTCTTTCATTTTAGTAGCTCGCAACCATTGTAATAGCATGGTCTGTAATTCCATCCAAATCGATTGTTGATACAATTCAATTGTGAATATCATGTTTTCATGTTATAAACGAAGCAAAATTGTTGGTATCATCACTTCATCACATTATAGAGCAACAGACTCGTTGTGGAGGTCGCAGTTCGGCGTATCGTAGTGTGTTCTGCTTTAAAGCTTGATGAATCTGCTCGAAACGCGTCGGTGCCTTTTCGATATCAGATAGCGTAAGATCCTTAAAAGAAGGTACAATACGGTAGTAACTAATACGTTAATGAGTAGGGTTTTGCTAATTTATGAATGTTATTTTGTCATTATGAACTAACTTGTCGTTCTTCCAATAGTTTACCGCGTCGTCGTGGCTGGGAGGTGTTCTTGGGTGAAGCTTAGCTAAGACTAAACCAATACCAGGGCCAGTCCTGGTATCAAACTAATCGCATAGTGGTAGATCTCCCTCTGATCCACAAGGGGTGCTACTGCCTGTGGTGGTGATGACGTGGGGAAGGCTTTGGCCAAGCTGTCTTCAGGACTCCAAGCAACTACAATGGCTAAACCAGCAAATCTCGGGAGAATGGAAATTATGTTGCGACCTGCATAACCAATGAAGACGAGCTATCCAACTATCAAAGTAAGTAACTGTTATCATTGTCTAGACTGACGAAATTTTAAATTTAGGTCTGTTATCTGGAACATTTTCGTACTGAGAGTCATCGTACTAAAGTGCAGTTTAGTACCAAAGTGGTGCAATGCTCCATTGGCTATTCTATTTCAAGTTTTCTTAACAGCTGCTATAATCGCTCGGGTTATCACACTAACTTGACCAATAACCAAGGGTTATTTCTTTTCTCACAAAATCAAAGGAACTGATGAGGCGCGGTACCACGTACATCACACGTATCGAATGTGTTCACGGTAATGTTCATGCCTTCAAAACAGTCCTCTTCGCATTGATCAGATTCCGAATCGGAAGTCTGAATTGTAGAAAAGATCTGCTAAGAAAGTACTAAACTCGTTATTGGAAAAAGAAAAATATCAGATGACTATCAGTTTTCATCTATAACGAGAAATTGGCGAAACCCACAAAGCATCGCGTAGCCATTTGTGTTCGAACGGTGTTCTGATGAAATGTGGCCAGCTGTACTCGCTTGGCATCAATCTGGGGATATCCGTATTTCTAAAAAAGGAACGGGAATTTACTATCGCAGCCTGGAAGCTCACGATTAGACTAAGGAACTCTCTATATCTTAGGAATTCATAGGAGATAACATTCATAGGAACAACATTCACAACCGGTCACGATCTAAACATGCGCAAATGAACGTTGAAGTAACTGTAAATAACTCCAAGGTTCATTTTTGATACATCAAACCTCTCCTTTGAAGAACTTCCTACTGTTTTTGGTAATACGAGTTATTTTAGTAGTCTGTGCTACATGGGGTGGATATACTAAAATTCAGTTTGTTGGAATCCCCTATATGAGATGGATCTACTTGTTGGATCGCTTTTCATGTTATTCTTTGGAAAACCTCACTGATTCAGTCTGTGGTTGTTGTGTAGAATTCTCCATATGGTTGTGTCAACTTGTCCTTCAGTATTATGTGCTAAGAGGTCTTACTAATGAGTCAAGGAGCTCGGGGTTTGGATCGATCAGTTTATCGATCCTTTTCTTGACAGATCCGAACGCAGGTTATGCTTTTTTTCCACTTGTAGAATTCTTTCTCAACGCTGTTTCTTTTGAACGCCTTGGTTACACATGAATTTACTTCCACTGTGAAGACCATACATTCTTCAAGGTCATCATTGGAGATTTCAACGCCAAGATTGGACCAAGAAGAACGTCACATTGGGACCCACGGATTAGAATGGAACGAACAGGGTGAGCGGCTCTCTGAACTTATCATAGCGACGAAGACAATCCATGGTAACTAGCAATTCCAGAAGCCCCACCCTCAACGCTGGACGTGGGAGTCTCCCAGTAGAGAGTACCATAGCGAAATAGACCACATCATAGTAAATAGAAGTTTTGCCTAACCGATGTCGCTGTTGTTCCAAAATTCTGCACATGATCAGACCAGCGTCTCCTTCGTGCGAGATTCTATTTCTCGCGGAAAGGATAAAAATCCGCTAAATTCAAAAACCGAAGTTGCAGAACCACCGTAAGCTGGGACTTATTCAATTCATTAGTCGGCTGTTGGGAAGATGCCGTTGTCGATAACATCGACGAAGAATACGATCGGCTCATTCAACATCTTTACTTTAGCGCTATGAAAGCTGAGAGTTCGAAAGTCACCAAGAGACGTCTGTAACGAGAAACACTCGAGCTGATAGGGCAGGGTGGAATCGCACGAGCTGCACGCAACCGCGAACTACCGCCCGAACTTGCAAAACATTGCAGACAGGCGATAAAAGAAGATCTTAAAGAGAGAAGAGCAACAGTAACGGTTGAAGCTGCAGAGGCTGGGAAAAGCATTCGCAAAGCCCACCGAAACTTGGCCAATTACAAGACCAAGATGACTGCACTCCAACGCCCAGACGGAACAATTACAGCGCTCAGGAAGACAATAGAGAAAATCATTTACAAATATTACTCAGATCGCTTCGATAACCTCGTCCACCATCCGTCATATGAAATAAAGCAGGATGGATATGTTGTACCACCGGTTCTCCCCTCCGAAATCCGACATGCCATTTCGTCGGTGAAAAATTGAACAGCACCAGGTCCGGATAGTATAATACCAGAACACCTGAAGAACCTTTCGCCAGTCCTCGTAAACACACTGGCTCGGCTGTTCACACATTACCTTCCTGAATGCAAGGTCCCTACTCAGTTGAAGACCAGCAAGACCGTGTTGTTGTTCAAGAAGGGTGTCCTACACGATATCGGCAACTATCGCCCAAGTTGCTTACTGTCTTTCGTCTACAAACATTTCACTCGAGTGTCCTGAACAAGATTGACAAAAACTGGACGCAGAAGAGCCGTGTGAGCAAGCAGGGTTTCGAAGAATTTAGTACGGCGGACTATATCCACACGATAACAAGACTCACCGAAGTATCGCGAGAGTACAACACACCGCTGTCTCACTTTCATCGATTTACAGAAGTGCTTTGATTCAAATGAGATAGAAGCAGTCATGGAAGCCCTTGACAGTCAAGGAGTCCCTACTCAGTACAAAAAGATACTTCGTGAGTTGTACAAAAATTTCACAGCCAAGATATCATCATTCTACAACGATATTAAACGATATTGACATTGACGTCAAAAGAGGAGTTAGGCAATGCGATACCATCTCGCCAAAATTATTTACCGCCACCCTCCAGAACGTCATGCGAACATTGAAATGGGATATTATGGAAGTGGAAATCGATGGCCGGCAGTTGCATCATCGTCGCTTTGCTGATGACGTCGTCCTTATAACACCAAACATTAACCAGCGGAACGTATGCTTGCCGACTTTGATAAAGCCTGTAAAAAGATCGTTTTGCGGCTGGATCACTGAAAAGTGATGTTCATGAGAAACGGATTGGTTTCGCATGTCCGATTCACGCTCAACGGATCTGATATCTCTGACTGCTGCAGTTATGTCTTTCTAGGTCGGGAAATTAATACAATGGACGACTTAGCTCCAGAGCTGAGCAGAAAGAAAGGAGCGGCTTTGAGAGCTTTCAAGAGCATCGAGGATGTAGTGAAGAGGACAAAGAACACCTGACTCCGTGCCCACCTTTTCGACTCAATGGTACTTCCTGCCCTAACGTATGCCTCAGAAACCTGGTCGATGCGTAAGCAGGATGAAAGATCACTCAGCGTTATCGAATGCACAGTCGAAAGGACTATGCTAGGAGTATCCTGCTTCACACATATTCACACATATAAGGAATGAGATCCGAAGCTCCAGCCTGCGTCAACGATCAAAAATCAAAGATGCCGTTCTGTACGCCAAACAGTCGAAGATAAGTGGGGCCGGATACATAATACGTATGGATGACATCCGGTGGACAAGAGCCGTTTGTGACCGGATTCCTCGGGATGTCAAACGTATCGCAGAAAGACCACCGACCCGATGGTCAGAGTTCTTCACGAAGAGCCTAGAAGAAGGATATGATGCTCGACGAATCCCTAGAGCGGACAGAACCCACGAGGCTACTCTTGCATGCGACAAGGAAAAATGGAGGATTTACTGGCGCCCGCTCGAGTCACTCGATGATCAACGGAACTACAGGTGATACAGGTGAAGATTATAGATAAGTGAGAAACTTGCACGAATTCCTTCCGTTCCAACGAATCCTTTTTCCTACGGAGATGACAAGTTGTCGATGATAGAGTTGGAGTATCGTGGTGCATTTACATCAGTAGCGGAATGTACTTTCTACTTTGATCTACACCTTAATCCATGACCGCTGATAGAATAGCATTTGTTTCTGAATACCTTTTCGTAGTCAGGAAAGATTTTTGTATAGAGTTCTTATTCCCCTCGTACTTCTATAACCATACCTATGGTTTTGGTGTGATCGATTTGGTAGAAATTCTGTGAGAATCTTGTTCAAGTGGTTAAGTTTCTTTTGAAGTTGCCGATATGGTCAACTGAATAATCTTCATGAAGAGGTTCTGCAACACACTCCACAATCAAATAGTATTGTAGTCATGTCTGTTTCTTCAGTTATCCTTTTCGATTCATCCGCGTTTTAGGACGCGGATAGTACAGTAGTAGTGATCAGTAGTGGTGATGCCTATCATCATGGGCATGGTGCTGGTTCGATTTCGCTGCCTGCTCATCCCTATAGATTCGGTGAATTATTAGCATACTTGTCCGGGAGAAATTCACTCTTTGCAATCCAAGTGGGAACGCTTTGTCCCAGATATCTCAAAACTCCAGGGAGAATCGACTCAAACAGCACTCAACTACACTCATGAAGAAAGAAAATCCTGAAGCAGCAGCTGAAGTCACACGTAAAAAGTTGGAGGACCTTCGCGGATGATGGGTTCGAGGGAAACGAATCGAACACAAGTGCTGGGACCACACAGTAGATGTGAACGACAGGTCGTGTAAATAAAAACCTGCAAGTTTTTATAGGTACCGATTAGTGATCTTTCTAAATGAAGTATTTTCATGTTGATTACAAGAACTGTTTGTTGTTTGTGATTAATAACTCAAAGTAAGGCAGTTGAAATGTGATTTAATCCTGAAGTTTTGCCTCTATTCATGGTTATGATTGCAATTTGGATTTTAGAGTAGGATTCTGGATGCTCCTTCTAACGGTTTACCGTCTCATCGTAGCCAGGAGGTGTTCCTGGGTGTCGGATTGCGTTGTACAGCGGGAGATCCCTGGCAGGGTCTCCCAAGCTGAGAAGAAGTCCGACGTTTCCGTCAGGAAACCTAGCTAAGAATGGACCAATACCAGGATCCACCATCGCCCTGCTATCCAATTAGTCGCATGATGGCTAATCTCCTTCTGTCCACAAGGGCTGCGGCTGCCTGTGGTCGTGAAGATCTGGGGCAGACTTTGACCAGACTGACCTCGGGATTCCAGGGAACCACGGTGGCTTAACCAGTAAATCTCCGAAAAAGTGGAAATTATGCTGGGGCGGGCACAACCAGTGAGTGCAGTCCATTCAAGTATCAAGTACTCTGAATGCTGCTTCTCAATCAGACATTTTGCAGTGTGTCGTCACAGGGTTTTCGAACGAAGAAACGCCGTAAAGTTTTTGCAGTTAAATCTATGATCAGTTTTCTCTTCGTCTTGAGTATTTTCTTGGAGGTGATATATATGTGCTCCGAATATCCTAATTAAAGAACTGTAGTGTATTCGGTGAAAGTTATGAAGTCTCTTGATGAGTGACTTATATTCGGCCAGTTCATAATAATGGCATTTCGTTGAGCATGTTTCCATTACATCGACATCGCACTCCTATGGCACGACGTCGACATGATTCAAATGGAATTTGGAAATGACATTTACCGTTTCTTACTCATGTATTGGAAACATGTGCACGTGTAGTACAGTGGGTGTCCTGCAACACAGACGTGGTTGTTGGTTCGATCCTATGTCCTCAGCTCACCTAGCCTTCCATGCCTCCGGGGTCAGAAAATTTGTACCACACTTGGTTAGGTGGATAGGAGAACTGACTAGCATCGGTAAGCCACCGCAAGACATTGTATTGGGCAACTGTTGGAGTCGAATGAATGGGGCGTCTTTGAGGGATTTGCCAAAGCCGGGAGCTTGTCCTTTTTGTTGGAAATGGAAATACGTGATAGATAATTAAGATAACTGAATTACGTACGGAATTTGTATGTAAATAAAATTACGAAGTGTGCAGAGATATGCACTGGGTGTCACATAATGTACTTTACAGTCTACAACATACTCCGCTACAATACTTATCCAACATACTGTTCCAATCAATATCCAACATAAAAGGATAAAGGATAAAGCCCTCGGCGTTGATCTATCTCTGAGACATGCGCCATGCATCCGACTTCATTAAGTATCGTTGGCCTTTACAATGACTCGCGGTGGCTTACCGACGTATCGAGTCAGTGCTGCTAACTTCCCAGACAAGTCTGGTACAAATTTGCCAACCCCGGAGAGATGGAAAGCTTGGCGGACCATGGGCGCTGAGATCGATTCCACGGGTGCGTTGCAGGGCGCCTACGATCACTGCGCCACACGCGCCCTATATCCAACATATTACCACGGAAAAAATTCGTGGATGCCGTCATAAATTATTTATATTTCTGTAATTACACTGATTTCTGGCCGAAAAGTGAGTTCCTGCATCTCGGCAGCGAGACTTCGTTGAGTCGATCCATCCGAGTCGTGGAATCGTTGCTCAGCCAATCGCTTCATCACCATCGACGACGTCATATGGTTACCTAAACATTTCTCTTTCACAAGAATAGAAGCGACGCTTCTAAAAAACTCGATAGATCCTCATCTGCGAGTGAAAAAGGGAACGAAAAAGGAAAAGAAACAAACCAGTTTAAAACTGAAAAATCATTGTTCTAGGGAGGAAACTGATTCCAAAACATGAATGTTTCAAGTTTCCTATGAGTAGTAGATATTTATATGAAGACAATGCTGATAGTAGGGTATCGAATTTTGAGGTATCAAACAATTCAAGAACACAACGATGGTTAGATGTATTTGGAATACATTGAAGAAGCTAAAGATTAGGGACTGATATCGTCAAAAACTACTTTTCGAATTGTTCTTGAGTATTTCCAAAAAAAATTTGCGATCAAGCAACTAGTGGCGAATGAGGAAAACAGACGGTGATCGAACATCCGTGGACTTTTGGTGATTCGTTTGCTCATCTACAATCTGCCTGCTCATTTCAATCCGTAATCACTATCTTTCTTCAAAGTCTTTCTTCCTGAAGATTTCACAAGTAAATGTAGCTGCTAATATACTTCCCATATATAATGGCTGAAAAGATTCCTTATGTAACGGATTTGCTCAATTCAAGCTGAACAGCCAGTGAGATATCAATACGCTGAGAACTATGAGAAGAGCATGATAATATCTATGGATTTTAATTTAGCACTTTCTCATTCCACTTATTCATTCGAAAATTTAGGAGGCCTTCAGTTACAAAGAGAGAGAAAAAGAAAAAAAGAAAAAGGATTTATTAAAGATAAAAGTACGAGAGCTACATTAGCAATGAGGAGACCTGAGGGGGAGACCATCGGCTAGCACAAGATTTTTTTTGTATCACCAGCGAACTTTAGTATAGATATCAGTTGGTAGATTGGATACAAACAACGAGCGTTGTTTGTTGCTGACCAAATCACCTTGATAAATGTGTTAGCTGGTTAGGCTTTGTTCAGATAGTTTTCTCAAACGAAAGCAATATCACCAAGACGTTCAAGCATTGACTGGGATAGAAATCGTTAGAATCTCTACGTTTTCAAGAACGAGATACAAGTTCGCCAATTCTATCGAAGTAAGGCACTAGGGTTTTGGAAGCCATTAATCCATTGAAGTCATCCTCAGCAGAAGCTTCGCTATTGATTATTATCGGCTTCACTGTGTTAGTTGTTGAGGCACTTGAAAGAGGAGCGATTAACGAGAAGTCTGATGAAAGTTTCGAATCCAGAATCGCCTTTACCAGAGATCAACACCGGTCGCAAATGTTGAAGTTCTTGGTGTATTTCAACAATTTCACAGGTAAACATCTCTCTTGTAGTGACCTCGTCACAACCCACGAAGTTACTCGGAGCCAAAATCCATCTATCGACCACGAAACAGTCAGCATCGCCTCTTTCTGTTGGGACTTTGTTTTCGATGAATGCTTCAGAATGGTTCTGTACCACTGTGTCTACGTTAGAATAGTCCAGTCGTTTTATTACAAATTATCCATAATTAAATCATCTTCTATCTTTAATCTTTTATCTTTATTTTTGATCATCTCTTCATCTAAATCATCTTTTTTGTCTTTCTTGCTTTTCCACATTGTTCAGTAAACAGATACTGTGAAAAGAAAAACTTGCCGTTGATTTCTCTGTCGAGTCGACGAATTTCTGGATTCGAAAAACCATCTAGCTGTTGCTCGGCGACGTCTCTAAGACTTCTCGGTATGACATCGTAGACTAGAAAAACGATTTTTTTCTCCGACGAAATAAGTAATTGGTTTAATTTTTATAATGAAGTAACATCAGAAAATGATAACAATTCAGGCAAATATAGAGAATACTTGAAGGTTGTCTCCGCTGGATGGAGCTTCAGTATTTAGGTCGCGCATGTGGCGCAGTGGTCAGAGGCGCCCTGCAACACACCTGGAATAGATTCTCGCGCACATGGCTCACCAAGCTCTCCATTCCTCCGGGCTCTGCAAATTGGTACCAGACTTGTCTGGGAGGATAGCAGCACTGGCTCGATTTATCGGTAGGTTCGAATCATTGTAAAGGCCATATATGAATTCAATCACTTCGAACGATACTTAATGAGGTCGAATGCATGGCGCATCCCATAGGGATTGATCAACGCCAAGAGCTTTGTCTCTTTTTATTATCCAGTGCTTAGGACTTGTTAGATATTCATTATTTTATTCATTTTAGATTTTTTGAACTAAAAACTGCTAGAACTAGAGCACAGAGTAATCCAAGAATAAGGAAGAGCTACGCCTAGTTCTCCCTTATGTGGTGAAAAGCAGTCATCAAGAAAGCTTACTCAATTCCATAAAGTACACTGGTAACAGTTAGTTGCCAATTGCAGATACGGCAACTGCACTTCCAGGTCCCAAAAAGTCCAGCTGTACCCTTAGTAAGCGCAGATAGCAATTATAATAAAAAGTTATTCACGAAAGGTTATACCGGATATCTCTGCCGGATCATTTTTTGGAGATTTTGGTGATTTTGGTGACGCTGGTGGTTTTGGCGATTTCGGTGGAGGGCTTGTTTTCTCCTTGTCTTCTTTGCTATCAACAGTCGCTGCATACTGTAAAGTAACTGATTATTTAAGGAGACACTAGGAAATACGAGATCGAAAACTTATAGTGGTGTTGGACAGTTCAAGCTAATGAAACCACTAAGCTGACCTTTTTGCTCATGACTGCATAGTGTTTTTTAAAATCTGTTGGAATCCCTTGATGCAGAAAAAACGGACCAGTGAAGTAAAATGACCTTTATAAAGGATGGTTAGTGGTTTTGCATAGAGCACAGCAAGGCAAACGAAGAATTAGACCTTGCGCTGGTTAGTCGATAAGAATGATTGTAATGGTACTTTAACATTGTCAGTGAAACAAACAAATAACAAAAACGTGGAACACACTGAAACAACTCAACAAGCAAATTGGATGAAAAGATAAAACACTCGGCGTTGAACAATCAGTGCGGACGCTTCTGTGCATTTAACTCCATTCCTAGTATCATAGAGGTGAATGAAAGAATATGTGGCCTACACAATGATTTTCAATAACTCAGCTACGTAAATATTTAATATTTTTAAACTCCTAGAAAAGTTTGATACCAATTTGCTTAGCCCGTAGAGGACGGAGGGCTTACTTTAGCCCGGGCGCTTGATCGAACCATTGACTAAATGTGTACTGCATAGTACCTCTATCCTTAGCGTAACACATACCATAAGTAAACTAAATACTCTTACAAATTGTTCTTTACAAATTTTAAACAAAACTGTAGTAGAACGAAAGCTCACCAAATAGTTATCCCAAATTTCAAGTTGTTCATCGTTCAGATTCGGGCACGATCCACTTAGCAGCTGTTTTGAAACTTCGGCCTGCAAAGCTGACATTTTCTGATCGGCGACCTTTCGCATCTGCAGCTTCACGACCTTTTGCAAAATATCGTGTTGCCAAGCAAAACATTTATAGTGATTCCACTTCATAAGTCCAGAGAAAAGTGTTACTAGTGGTAAACTTGGACGCGTTGTTCAAGTTTCGGACCAAACAGCACGTGAAGTGTTCGAAGACCCTTGTGGACAATGAGTGCGAGAAGCACTGAGATCTAGTGATGTGATGAAGAGTCTTGCAAAATGAAAAAAATTTTGATGTGGTATGTCATTAATTATTATTTAAAATCACTTTCTATAACTTGGTATTTGTACTATTTCGAAATAAGGCACTAGAAATAACCCAACGATGGCAACATAAGCCATGTGTGACTCAGACTATTTCTGTACTGTTGCTTTCCAGCATTTTTTCCCAGCACTCGAAAGATCGGTTTTTGGAAACATTATTCAAGCGTATTTCATGTTTTTGTAACTATACATGACTCGTTTTCAGATATTCTGTGCGGATCCAAGTATTTGCTGCATTGGATTCACCTCCTCACATCTATCATCCACGCAGATTTTCGCTTTTTCATGTGAGCTCAACAGCTGTTTGAGGACTCTCGTCTTCGTTATGAATGTCTGGCCAAATCGATTGTCCCTGGAGTTCTGGAACAGCCATATTAGGGTGTCACCCGTGGGTTGGAAGAAGTAAACTGCTCCAAGACGAGCCCGATGACAATTTCCGTAATACGGAATGAGAAGCTTGGTGAGCCAGGTGCAAGGTCTTACCAGTACCGTGATGGTGACAAACGGCATCACTGCCGACATGGTAGTTTCCAATGTATTCGAAAAAAAATTTTATAGCCACCATAATGCTGGGATACTTGCAAAACTGCGGACTGCAGGTGTCTGTGATGGAGATCGAACTCGCTGTTACCCTCAATCCCGTTGACGGATGATTGCTAATAGCACGTACAGAAACAGTGCTGAGAGAAAGACGAAGCGAAAGAACCATATGGTATGGTGGTGAACGCGTTAGCCCCCGGAAAGGGTAATAGGGTGTCCGATCCTCACCGCAGACACCTGGGTCCGGAGTTTTGCAAATATCTCAGTACCATTGAGTTTATATCTCACATTTTGCCTTGCCACGAAAAGAAGAACAATAGGTAGAAAATAAAAAGTGACTACATATTGAATCTTGTGCTGTTAGATTTTTCCAATAACTAAACGGACAACTGTAGAAAACTGAAGATAAAGGACGTTACCGTCTCCTCGGCTTCTTTTATCGGTGAAGGGTTTGGTGTGGTCGTGCCACCGTTTCGGTCGCTTCCATAACCGTTCGGATCTAGTGGATGTAACGGACTGGATGATTCCTATAGACAAGCAAGCAGTAATTGATTAGATAGAATGGGAATCTGGTCTCATAACAGCATCAACACTTAATGAGCGATGTGAATTGAGTTCAATGCAAGTGAAGCAGTGGTTCAATCATGTTCAATCGAACATTGCGCTCACACTAAATTGTAGTTCTTGGAAAAAATTCATTGAACTGGTAGCAATGAACTTCTATTTATTTGTGAAGGGCCTTTTTAAATAGATTGTTTAATTCTTTGGCATTAAAACGTATTGAGAAAGAACTAAAATAGCTTGTACTTGGCGCCTAATAGCTGCCTGGCAATAAAAAGAAATCAGGAAAACAAGTTGCGATTACTCGTAGCTTTATGTCATTTGTGTCCTTTCCAATTTCCATTTCCGCCGCTTGTAACAATACGCATTGACTTCAATTCATAAGGTCAAAAAAAAATCTTTCCCTTTCGACTTCAAAAACATACCTTGCCTTAATAGTGAACTTTACTACCATAGTTAAAGCAAAGAGTATTGGATTCCTCACAGATCTTTGCAGAGTCGAAATTTTGACAAGCGGGGCAAGATGGTGTCCCACTGATGTTTGCGGCTGCTGCGGTATCAATAGAAATTTCAAAATTTTTATTCTTCTTTTCCATTCTTTGAAGATTAGAAGCCCAGAAAGATTTGAGATCAAAAGAGTGTTCTGGAGAAAGCGAATGTTAGCGCGACAGGGTAGGACCTATTCCATAAATTTGCAAAGCTCCAAACTACATAAGTACTTGACTTAGTGAGAAATAACCCGCGGCTGTAGAAAACTCTGCCATGAATACTATCACAGAATCTTAGAAGTAATCACATTCCAGTAGCCTCAGGCAACAATATGGCACAGAGGAAAAAGATGAAAGATCCACAAATTCCAGTCGAACACCCGTACAGAAACTCTGTTCCTTCGAAGAGCTGACGGTTGGAAGACAATGAAGCGACTGAAAGAAGTGCTGGAATTTCTAAGATACGTGGAAACAAGGCATGCAATAAAGTTTTTGCAGCTATACTTCCAAAATCAACTCTAGGATGTCAATCGATGTAATCTATTAATTACGACGGCGAAGACACCGCATTGAGAGTACGTAGGGCTATGGACATCGACTTGGACCATCGGCTTTGAAGAGGATCAAGATGCTGGAACGTTAGCCAAACAAATACTTGGTAACAACCTCGTGTTAGCTTATCAATGAAGCAGGGTACATTGACCTAAAACGAGACCCGTTCAAACTGTCGTATTATACTGCTCATGCCGAATGGACTTGTTGTAATAGTGTCTCATTGAGTGAAACATATTCACTGGCTTACAAATGTACGTTTTATTCTGACCTTCCTCTTTCACCTTCTTCGTCACATTCCTAGGAAATTCGACTATGAAAAACGAAAGATTAATTTCTCTACCAACTCCGAAAGTCTGTAGATCATCTTCAAATAAAATTTTAGATAATATCTTAAAGGATTTGAGAATTCGGAAGTAAGTACCGCAGTATATTTCAAGTAGAGTGATAGCGCTAATGTGAAACTTCATCCATTTCTCTCTACTGATGACGATGAGCGTTGGTAGCGTAATGGTTAAATGGTTAACAGGTGTGCCTCAGTGTACACAAGGTTGCTGGCTCGATCCCAAGCATTTGGCAAACCAAGATCGTCATCTCACTTCATGTGTTGGAAACCGATTACTAGATTTTTCAAGAAAGGTAGAAACACTGACACGATATTGGTCAGCACCCATATATCATAATATAGATCTACTATACACTTAATCACCTCTACAATGCTACGAATGGAGTTGAATGGATGCCGGATCCCTAAGGCAGTGATTAACATTGAACGGTTTTATGCTTTATAAGGTTAACGATAAAGTTCAACAGTCTAGGATACAAAGTTGATCATCTATACCTTGCCCCATTCATCTTTCATTTGTAAAATCATGAAAAACCTGACACTTTTGCCCATTGAATGAGCCAGCGACATTTCGTTACACACCAGCCATTTCAGTCAAAATAAATTTCCTTTTTAAAATTTGAGATGACTATTACAAGAACATCGCTCTAACTGATTATGGAAGATAATGAAGCGGACAGAAAAGCATGAAGCGTTCGGCGTCCATCAAGCCCTAAAGGATGGGCAGTGCATTCTACATAGCATTGTAGCGATGAATCGATGCATATCTGGCCTATAAAATGAGTTTCGGAGCCCACAGATGTGACGAGTTAGTGTTTTTTTTACTCTACTAGAATACCTACTACCAAGTTGCCAACCTCGACGGGATGGAGTCTTGCTCAGTCTAGGACGCGGGATCGAGCCATTGAACGCGTGCGTTTTACAACGCACCTCTAGCGACTGGATTACACGAGCACTTAGTATAGGTTGTAGTTAACAAGACTGATAGAGAAAGGAAAATTACTACATGCAACTGTTAAATGAAAGGTGCTGATGGCACAGATCGATAGAAAACTAGCTGAGAGAGAGAGACGAAACGAAAAAGCTGCATGGTGTGGTGGTGAACGCGTTAGCCTCCGGAAAGGGTAATAGCGCGTTCGTTCCCCACCACAAACACCTGCACTCCGGAGTTCTGCAAATATCCCAGCATCATTGCGGTTGTATTTCACATAGTACCCTGCCGTAAAAAATTGTAGTAGGCAACAAATAAAAAGTAAACATAGGTGAGGGGTATTACTCCTCAAGGAAAAAGATGTGAAGCAAATAAGAATGCTGTTCCTTCCATATTTTTTTTACTGAATAAATGACATGTCATAAGCCCATACAGATTGTTGAAAAATCCTGCCCTAAATTCCCCCCAAACGAACTTTCCAGAGAAAAGTAGTTTTGAGTGAGAGGTCAAGTGACGTCATAGATAATCAGTTTAGTAGATACGGTGGATATTATTCTGGTAATTTTGGTATTTGAGTGATGATTTATCAATAACATCTAACAATAACTGCAAATTTCATTAGTGCAGTTCTTTAAAGACGATAGGAAGCCTAAAGTCGATGGCTTTAATCCTATAGAGTCAATTTCCTCCAGACCTCATTTTTTTCGAAGAGTAATCCTATCGAATGCAACGAAACCCTCATCGACGAATTTTCCGGAACGAATAAACGTTATCGGAAAAATATAGCTAGTCGCCGGAAAATGCGATTCCTATAGAATTCGACAAGTGGGGTCATTTATTTGAGCGCTGTGAAGAATTACCTCCCATTTTGCAACGTTTGCAACATGGATTATTAGGACTTTTAGGATGCTCGATCAATAGGCTAAGAACACTTGGGGTATTCAAAGCACTCATCGTTTACAAGAAAACACTGAAAAGTATCGGCAGTGCCACTTAGCACATGATGGAACGGTTTTCGAATCTGCTTTCTGGATAGGTAACACATGGTTTCATCGATCTCTTACCGAGTGATTCCCACGGACACGTGTAAACACGTCCATTCATCTTCTTCACACATCAGAACTCTACTTAATCAATGGACAGGAGGGCATGAAGAAACAGCATTACAGTTTTGTCATTTTTTCACTATTCCCAGTCATAAAGTAGCGACGGACAGCCCATAGGGCTCTGACGACGTGGATCAGTAAGATGGTGGTGTATTCTGGACGTGATCTACTAGGCAAGCTTTCAGAAGGAGACATCCAACTTCCCCTGAGCTCCGGTGGTGGAGTGACGAATAACCACTGTACGTCAACATTTGAACCGACGTCCTAACAACGGCAAGACTGGCAAACTACCTGGTGGGAGAGATGGATGTAAGTCTATCTTAGGTCTAATATTCTAATTTTCTTAAGTGGATAAAAGTGATAAAAATCTAGGTGTCATCTATTACAATGTTTTCACAATTCACCTATTTAAAACATGTTAGCGTACCGATGAGTTCATCACCAAGGATTGTGTGTGTTTATTACGTTTTCGTCGCTTCTTCCTCAGCACAATCGCTGGGATCGGTGGTCCGCCGCCTTCTGAAAATCACCTAGGAAAAACATCTAAGATCGTGTTGAATGACAACATTCACTAATACCGTTAAACTATTTAAAAATGCAGGATGATTGTTACAATAATAAAGAAGAAAATATTTCCATCCGCACCTATTTATAAGCATTCATCCAAGTCAAAATAAAAACAACAATGTGGTTATGATTTGTTCTCTCGAAAAATTTCGAAAACAAACAACTATCGCACTCCAAGGGGCGCGTATGGTGCACTGGTCGGAGGTGCCCTGCAACACGCACTTGAAATCGATCTCTGCGCCCATGGCTCCCTCCGGGATCGGCAAATTGGTACCAGACTCGTCTGGTAGGATACCAACACTGGCTCGATACATCGGTAGGTCAGAGCGAGTCATTGTGAAAGCCAGATATGCATTCAATCATCTCCAACGATGCTCAATGAAGTCGGAATGCATGGCGCATCCCTCAGGGTTTGATCAACGCCGAAAGCTTTATCGTTATCCTTTATGCTTATAGGATTCCGATGTTTTGTATTATGACTTTTTTCCAAACATTGTACAAAAAGATTTGCTTTCAACAGTTTTCTAGCACAAATTCTTCAAGACAACAAAGAACTCAGGAGAGAATTCAATTTTTGTTGCGTTCATGGAAGTTATCTAGGTGCTTCGAGGGAAGCACAGAAGTTTTAATAATCAATTTTACCAGTTTAGGAATGACTCATGAGCAAATTCATGCAATAGTTCTGGTTCTATGACAAACGATGATAACTCAGAAAAAATTTACCAGTTATGCCAAGGATAAAAAGGTAAGATATCTGTTGATTTACAGGGTCACTTAAGAATGAACCTGTTGATTTTGAAACAAAGAAAATATAGGAAATGGGTTCATTTTGTTGCATTTCACTTTGAAGAGGTTAGAAAACGAAATAGCGAAACAGCAAAGTTTTGTAACGGCAAGGTAGGGCCGGCGCTGGTGAGAGAGTGTAAAGCCAAGGTGATGGTTTTTTCTTTCCTCAAGAGATGAACAAATAGAATTTCTGTTTCTAATTTAGATAATAAATAATAAGATGGTTGCAGTTTGTCATTTAGACGGTCATTTTATCAATTTGCTCTCATTAGTCTATTTTTTATTTTTGTTTCTATCAATCATAGACTGAAATCATTAAAGGGTTGTGCTCTCGGCGTTCATCCATCTCTGATGGCGCTCTATCCACTAGAGCTCATCAAGCATCGTAGAGGTGCTTGAATACATATCTTACTTGTACACTAATTTGTGATGGCCTACCGATGTATCAAATCAAGGCTGCTATACTCTCAGACAAGTGTGGCATCAATTTTCCGATTCCGGGAAATGGAGGGCTTCATGAGCCCATGGTTCCGGATTGAGCCAAAGACCATGTTTGCGCTACTGCGGGACACCCTTAGCCAGTGGACTACACGCAGCCTCGTTTCATAGATTAGTGAGGACAACAGAAAGCTTTGAATTCCTTCCATTCACTTCCTCATTATAACAGAGTTTTAGTTACGCAGTAGGAAGAGTCGCACACAGCTAGAAACAGTGCTTTTTGTTTTACGATTATGTATGAAGAAATGATAAGATGATTACGAATTATCCACATATGGAGACAATAAGGATAAGGATAAAGCCAGAAATAACAGTTAAGGTAAAAGTTAAGTAAGAAAAAAAAAGATTTAGCACAGTCATGAAGTGATAGCTGTCTATTACTGCATTTGAGAACAACTTTTATGGGCAAGGTAATTTCTTGGATGCTTAACAAACGAAATTGAACAAGCTTTCTTCTAGTATGAAACGAAATCTATCACTTTCAGTGATAAGCTGATATGCTTGGGAGCTTTTATAGGTAGGATAACCTAAATAAAGTTAAAGAGAAAGTATGTTGCAACATTTTTTTTCTGAACAAGTATTTACTGAACCATCTTTTCCGAATCGTTGATTTTTTTCTTTGGAAAAATTCAACAGTTGTTCAAGGATCATCTAGTGCTAAAACTTGACTGCTACCCTCCTTTAATCCTTTAAATTTTCGGGTGAATCTATTCTCTTGAAAGGAGCCCCAAAAAGATGGAATGTGGCCCATGATGTAAACAAACTCGGCTCAAAGTGAGGACGAAAAATATAAAACTTCCTGACAATTACAAAGACAGTGAAGGTAGTATTTTTTGCAGTGGTTAACAATAACTTCATGATAGCTTTAGGATAACTTACGATTTATATTTGTGATGTTAACAGTGTATCCGTTCGGGATGACGGGCATCGGATGTGAGGAGGCTGTGGCGGGCGGCATTGCGAGCATTGCAGGGAAAGGCGGCGCCACATAGGGGGCCGGAGGCGGTGGCCGAGGAATAAGTGGACCAGCAGCACCGATGTCTTAATTGAAGCTGGTTTTTCACTAGATTAGAGACTCTACTAAAGTAAAAGAGAAACCTAGTGAAGCAGAATATCGTTCAAAACAAGTTTACAACAAATCGATACTGTTGAAGCTAAGAAAGCGGTCGAATTTGGCAGAGCTTATAGCGCGAAGAAGAACGAGTACCGCTCTCTTATTTGAAAAACTACACGCTAACAAGAACTTTTCTACATATTGATTTTTGCATGGATTCCGCCGTCCATGAAAAAATCGATAGTTTGAATTGATTTCTTTGCTATTTTAGTGGACCGTCTGATCTGATGTTGAAGTTGAAAGGAAAAAAAGAAAAAAAAGAGAAGCATTGTGGAAACAGACAGTTTTTCTTTTCTCTGCGAAACTTACACTTTTCCATTGAAGCCTGTGCTGGTATATGGCCAATCGGTATAAATGGCACTTCTGTTAGTGATGAACGATCCTGTCGACATTCAGGCAATGTTGAAAATGCCTCTTCCAGAATTTTTCTACGTGGTACAAACTCAGGAGCTTTCAGCCAACCTGCAAACAAAATCTCACGGTTGCTTCATTGACATCATTTCCTATGTTTGGAGATCCTCCTTCGTTCTTAGATAGTAACCGAAATCTTAGACGCCGAGAGTTTCTCAGACCATCAAATTGCATTGGTTTAACAAATGCGCCAGTTATAGAGAATGATTGAAAAGGAGTTGCACGGTGTTTTTGACCAGTTCTAGTGACGATTTCTTTGCCAAACTCTAGAAAATTCCCTTTTTCCCTAAGAATCTGACTCGACAATACAACACTGGTTGGTGATTCCCTACCTGTGATTACGTAATTCACATGGTGGCCAGGCTGTCAAGGATGGGAGATGTTCAACCCCCACCCCAATTGTTTAACGCCTCATGGTTGCTTTCGATTTTCAGGATTCCGTACTGAACAGTACTGCAATGGTCTACCAAGCTGAAATTGAGCCCGGCATTTTCACCGAGAATCCCACCTAAAAGTAAACTCATTCCACAGAAAGTCACGGTAGCAACAGAGTTACTGCATGGTGGCAAATTTCTCTCAGATCTACAACGACAGGAGAGTGCCTGTGGCAATGACCTCAGTTGGGTTTGCAGTTCTCTATTCAGACTCAAAGAAGAGAACTCCTACCCTGCCAATTATCGGCTAGATGGAAAATGCGCGGAGATCTACAAGATTCGTCGCGGAGACCAGGGATTCAATAGCAGCAAAAACTTTCAGCAAAAACTTCATACAATGCAGAATTATATCATATGGAACAATTTTATCTGATACTCTCAGGCTAGAGCAACAATATTTTGCGGTATAAACATTGATACAGCTTTCATCAAGCTCCAATTGTAAAACATATATATATTGATTATTGCAGTATGTGGGTCCAGAGAATGTTTGCTGTTGACTGAAGAGGTGTGGCTTGCATTTGAAAGGAGCTGTCGTACCATGCCATAGCGCAATTAATTTCCATATCGGAAAAGGTGGAAAATATTCTATTGGAAGGAAAAAATGGGACGTATTAACGACGTGGCACCCTAAATGCGTTGGTGAAGGTGACTAGACTTCACCTACAAAGTTATTCGATCGAATATTCGACGAATATTCGAACAATCGAAAATATTTAATCACTAGCTAACAATCGAAACAATCAATCCTTTGAGAAGCTAGAATTTTGCACGAGTTTTCTTCGGTTTTAAGAACCCGGACTTGGATCAAGTTGTTTCATTTGTAATGGAATTCTCAGCGAACTATCAATCTGTTCCATAATAAGCTGTCAAAAATCGATAACCACTCATTAAAAGAGGACTTATTCGATCACATTTCCTTTCGTAGAACAAGGTGAAATTGTGTTAATACGATCGATGGAAAACTGGAATCAAAGTGAATCCTTTAGATTATCATGTATTATCCTGAAAAACTAGCCTAATCCGAATACATGGCCTGAAAACGTTTCTAATGAGTGGGAATGCTCATATTAATGGTCTCTCAAAAATGAGATAGTCTCATAGAAAAACGCCCAAGAGAATTAACAAGACGGGCTGCACTAGACAAATTCAAAGAATTTCAATTCCTTCCAAAATTGAACTACGGATCATATAACGCTCAACAGCACTGGTTTATCCTAGAGATTGGAGTTTCTTGGCGCCACAAAGCTTAGGGTCACCTAAAGTTATACTCATCCTAAAAGTTGAGGTCAGAGTCACTTCACAATATGCTAGAGCCTAAGGCAATTTACCGGTAGCAACTTCATTGCCCACAACAACAAGAGCAGAGACACTTTGTAGAAAAGAACGATGGCTTTCGCGTCCTTTAAAGAGAAGGAACCAATTTAGCAGTTCTAGCTAGAAACCAGAAAAAATTTTCTACTAAAGGCTCCTCGACTTGATATATATAAATGGGATGACAGGTGTTACATGTGCATGTGTTCAAGGGAGAACTCCATTCTGAAGATTTATGGACGAATTCTAGCCATTGATACTTCACAGGATAAATGAGGCTTGGTACCTTTAATGATATTTCAAATGGCTCTTTTAGCTCTTAGGATTTTTAGGAACGTAAAGATGTCTTTAATTTTCAAAAGTAGATCAACACACACGAGGTTGATCACTCTGTCTTACCATATAAAGGATGTGAAGGAGGAAATATATAGGTAATGATATCACAATTGCGTCTTCCTCTTTATTTAATGAGATTCTAGGGATGTATCCAACCCTTAATTCAATACTTGATATAAGTGTGCATATTTTTTAATGTAATGAAATAGAATTGTATAAATTGAGTTATCAAAATATGTTTAAATTGTTGCCTCCCAATGGTTTACTGCCTCATCGTGGCTGGGAGTTGCTCCTAGATGTCGGGCTGCTATGCACAGCGAGGGGTTCATCCCCCTGGCAGGGTCTCCAAAGCTGAAAAAGAGCCTGGCATTTCCGTCAGGAAGTCCAGCCAAGAGTAAACCGATACCGTGATCCGTTACCGTCCTGATACCAAACTAGTCGCGTGGTGGCAAATCTCCCTCTGATCCACAAAGGCGGCGACTGCCTGTGGTGATGACGGCCTGGGGCAGACTTTGTCCAGGCTGATCTCGGGACTCCAGGGAACCACAATGGTTAAGCCAGCAAAACTAGGAGAAAAGGAGATTATGCTGAGACAGACACAACCAGTGAGTAAAGGCCATCCAAGTATCCAATTAGGTAAGTTTAAATTTTTGAGCTTACACGACGTTAACAAATAGGTTTTATTCGCCTAATATTTCGAAGTCTTCGTCTTCATCAGATCGCTGACCCAAGTCGATGGTGCACAGCTGGTCATCTTCTCGATGTAACGCCTTCGTCTTCTCATCGAGTTCAATCTTCTACAGAGGAGCATCTCTCGAATCGAATCGAATGCTTATCAAACTTTATCGTACTTTTCATATCGATTTTCTTCTCTATTTGTATGGCCAAAATTCATTCTTATGATGCACTTTTTTCATTAGATCCGTTGTCTCTAATCCGCCATTTATGCGAGGCCCGGAGATAGTCAAGAATTTTGCCTTCATTATGAAGTCTTGAATAGTTCTTGGAATTCTAGGATAGCTCGCCTAAATCGTTCCCGGTTTTTCGCCATAAGCAGTCGCCGATCTTTATGGATCTGATGGAGCCTTTTCCAGAGAAGTCTGATACCGGACTACTAATCGCAGAGAGATGTCAATACTGGTTGGTCCGTGGCGAAGCCGGATCGGGGACCATGTGGTTTAACCACTGCGCTCACCGTGTCCATTTTATAGAAATAACGAATAAAAAGTCTATTAGGTTCGAACTAAGAATAATAGGTTCTATCGATCTTTTTGCCGTCAACAATCACCCGTCAACGGGATTGATCTGGGAAGCCCAAATCGGCATTGAACCCAGTTAAGCTGAGGCTTAGTTATAATCACAATCTTAACCCTTTTATTTACTGCCTTGCTCTTTTTAATGGCAGGGTATGTTGCGAAATATAAGTCGTATATAATGCTGAGATATTTGCAAAACTCCGGACCGCAGGTGTCTGCGGTCCGGAGTTTTGCAAATATCTCAGTATTATATATGAGAATAATAGAGAGCAAAACACGAAAAAAACACGAGTATCTAAGAAATGCGACACAGGAAAAATACGCTAGCTCTTACTTTCGGGATCAGGTGTCTGAAAAGGGACCTTCTTCAATGGCATCTTCTCTAAGCTACCATCATAATACGATGGCGGTGGTCGATCAGCTTCTTCGAAGAAGATTTTCCTTTTGTTGCTGTTGTTCTCGCTCAATGTTTCCATCTGGAATCAAGTTAGATCATCATTGACTATTGGTTTGCATTGATCGAGCGAGTAGAAGTGAATGCTACGAGCTAAAGAGTGTCCAATGTTGTTGATCCGCGACGCGGTTTTACATCGTTCACGCCGTAGTCGATTACACATCCAGTTTAACAAACAGCGTTTTATCAGATTTGAAAGCGACACGATCAATGCAAATAGGAAGCATTTTTCTATCATTTTCTCTTCGAATTCCTCATTCAAATATCATTTTATCGACAACCATCTACTAGTTCCATTAAATGGCTAGCTTTTGAGTCCAATAGTGCCATGCGCTTCCTAAGAACCGGCAGGAAAGCATACAACTTTACCGTTACTTCATAAAGATGGCGGCAGTTTCCATAACGAATTCCAAGGAACGCATTCTAAAAATGAATTAAGGAAGCAAACCTCCCACAAGAATCAATGGAGCATGTGGGAGAACCGTCGAAAAAGAGTTTGGAATAAATGCATTGTGGACATACATTCAAGCCACGTTAGGAATTAACGAATTTTCAAAGGCGACGAGCTTTATCATTAAAACTAAGAAGGGCAGAAAGTGCTGAAGAATCTGGGGGCCTGAAAGAAACACAATCTAAGTCACCCTAGTAATCCACTTTATTCGATCACTTCCAGGAGATAAAGCTAGAAAGGGCACTTACATTAGAAAAAGCGATGAAGATACTTTCAAAGTGATGAACACATCCATACTATAAAAAATTCCCTCTATCCCTTTCCACAAGCCGATACGAAAGCCGAAGGGCAAAAAATATGGTGACCACCTAAGGCTTCGGTGATTTTTTTACGATGATGGACCACTCGAATATTCACGTAATTAGAATCGACTTTCAGTATTCTGCATATTCATAACAGCCTCCTGAGCAAGAAAAAAAAGGGACGCCGCAACATTTTTAGATAGGGCATCTTTCTTTGGAAGAGATCTTAAGTAAATACTTGGAAAAAATTTGTTTAAAGTTGGAGCTCATTTATCGCCATTTGAGTATCAGCATAGAAGTAAACGAGCGATGAGTCTTCGCTATGGGCCCTAAGAGGAATGAAATTCAACAACCAGAATGATGGAAAGCAAAGAAAACACAGTTAATGAAAGAAAGTGAGTGTGAGTCATGACAGGGGATATGTTGGCCGTATGTTTCAAAGCAGCCTTGACGAGGACATCGTAGCTAAAAAACTATTGGGAATCTGGGCGACTTGAATACGGGAATAAATGAGGACCAGAAGCAATTTTAAAATTGCTCTGAGACGCAGGTGGATTCGGACAACGTGCTCGCTGTCTGTGCTCCATCAGATTGACGTATGTCTTCCGTATATACTAATCATATTCATGCATATTGTCATATGGATTTTATACTGCCCAGTTCGGCAAAAAATCCTGAATGAGGTGGCTGGGAAAGAGAAACAACGGGTAGGGCGATGGTCCATGGCTACGTTCATCAAAGAGACTCTAGGATTAACTTCAGAAAGTCTAAAAAGACACACATGAGTATATCCGGACTCCAAGCACAGAACGGCGAGTGTTAATGGGACGACGAGCAATCGGTGTGTGACGTCTCGCGAAAACCAGTAAAAATAAAAAGCTCCGCACTTGAAGTGTGATGCTCCTCTTGTCACTCGAGCGAACTTGACCGAGCGAATATATATATATATATATATATATATATATATATACGCTTACCCACTTTGATTTTGATTAGTGGTGTTTTAGGCGACACAATATGCATATATATATATATATATACATATATATATATATATATATTACAAGTATACTTTTAAAGTAGATCAAAATATACAATTTGGCTATTTTATTGTAAAAATAAAAGAAACAGTCTGTTAGTGATGTGCGATGCATTCGTCCCCATTCGTAACCCCGCAAAGGAGGTCGAATGAACATTTAATGACTTTCGAGTGAGTACCGATGCATCAAGTCAGTATTTCTATCACCTACAAAAAGTCCGTTACAAATCTGCAGACCATTGAGAGATGAAGGACTTGGTCGCTCGGCGCTTCGGGTAGAACCAACGGCTCTGATTGTATTGAGTGGCACCTGTAACTACTGCGCCATATGCGCACCTACTTTTTTATGCATGTAACAGCACATAATGTAACTTATTATAATATTCGACCGTATAAACAATCGATAAAGAAATACTATAGCCGTGGCGAAATTTGAGAACAGATTTAAAAAACTTAATTCTTAAAGGGCATATGTTAAGCGTTATCCAAGAGTGAGGCAAAGTATTTTCTAAAGCTGATTCCAACTTTTTAGTAAAAGAAAAGGATAATTCGATGTTTTTCTTCAATAAGCAGACACGAGATTGTTATTATAGGATTTATTAAGATACAATAGCTGACGTTTCGGCGGTTTCGACAGTTATCACCCATGTATTACTCTGAGCGGCTGCTATCAGCCAACTTAAATACTTACAACAAATAAACGGTAGGTGTTTAAATGAAGCTGTTTCTTATGCGAATACAAATTTATTTGTTAAGTTTTATCTGCTGGGGTTATGGAAGTGTTCGACTAAGTAGATTGCATCTCAATCTGACTCAATTCCAGGCTCTGAAGAAGGCAGAATCGCCGAAACGTCAGCTATTGTATCCTAATAAATTCTATAATAACAACCTCGTGCCTTCTTATTGAAGAAAAACATCGAATTATCAATCAATGGCGAGGTTAGCACAAAGTCGTTTTTGGGAATTGCTACGTGAAGTGCCAAAAGAAAAGGATAGTCACTAAGGAAGAAAGTGGTAAAAATGACAAGTGGGGAAGATGTGGGCAGCTTTTTCCTCTGCTGGGAGGACGCATCAATTTAAGAGACGGGCGGCGTAGACGGTGTTGCTGGAACTCGAGAAGCAAACAATGTTGTCGAGTGAAGTGCATTGAGGTCCCGTAGAAGCACTCATCGATCCCGGTCTCGAATTAAGTTTTCTCAACTCTTTAACCCTTCTGTTGAAAAACTTTGGAAAATCGTCGACGTGTGAGTGAATGAACTCGCCTCAACATATTTAGGCTATTCCATTTTTCTATGCTCAAAAAACCGTCATCTCAAAGGTGAAGTCAAGTTCTTGCCAGTTTTCTTTTACGGCTACTAAGTCTACTAAGTATTCATGATGTACTTAGTCTGCCTGGAACAAAAGAAAGGCACTGGCATAAAGATTTAGCCATACAGTGGCTTTAGGTTGAGAACTGAGGACTATTCGAGAAGGATAGTCACCAGATAAAGTTCTATTGAAATTAATTGCACAGGAATGGTATAAGGGTCATCTAACCAGGAAAAAACTAAGCCATTTATACAGGAATAATGGAAAACCGATTTTAGAATAAAAAAATCGAGAAGGATATTGTTCTACGCACATCTCTCTTCATTTGCTGCTTACTCTGCTTAAATCTCATTCCAGCTTAAACTGTCATCGATGTCGCTTGAGCACTTTGTTTTTATCGAAGAGCAAGATAGCTAACCGACCTATCGACGTTATCGGATCTTTCCGACACTGACCAGCAAACAGAAGGAATTGCGTAATGAGAATGCACTCCGAAGAGGTCGTCAAATGAATCACTCCGGCCACAGAGAGGGACATTCGCCCGTGATAGTCTTCGATATTAACCGAATAATACTACTACTGTAACAAAGTAAACTTTCGTTGGGAGTTTGTCATTTTTAAAAGAATTCTCTAGACTCCAACTATTGACCGAAATTTCTTAAGCACGGATTTCTCACAGTTTTGGAATAGTTTTAGATTTCTTCTACAAAACAGAAAAATTTCAATCATCAATATCTTTCGGTGGAGGAGAGGAATAAAACAACTTTTCTGCTCGGATCGATGCTAGGTGTATGTTCATCTTTCGGTATCCAGAAAAATATGGACCAGTGCTTGAGGACAAAAACAGAGCACGGAATCTCTCCAAGGGTACAAGATCCTTAATTGGTAATAGACTTGTCCTCCCAGACAAGACTGTTACCAATTAAGGAAAAAACCACGGTTTCCCCAGGGAGATGGGTCAAACGAAGGACTCCATATGTATTGCAGGGCAACTATAACGACTTGGCTATTGTGCTCCCAGCGTGCTTCACTCGATTTTTTGAAAGAAAAAAAATTCAAAGAACCAGTAGTTGCTTACATCGTTGGTGTTTGTATCGCATTTTTTCCAGAAACACAGATTTCATGTTTTTACGCCGATATTTCTCAAAACTTCTCGTGCGACATCGAAATGGTGCTACTCGTCCAAAGCAATTTAGTGCTTTGTTTTCTGATTGTCAGCCCCTTATCAAAACTGTCATTCTCAATGGATCATCAGACTGGCAAGCGCTTTCTACCAGTGACCTCAAACATTTTCTGCAACCGGCTACCCAAAGAACAGCTGTCACGTTTACAATGAACTAATGAAAACAAAATTGCCAGTAAGACTTTCACTGTTCTACTAGCAAACGTTTCAGACTTTTAATTAACTAAAATCTAATGTTTGCTTTCTTATTTTCTGCCTTCTATTATTTTTATAACAGGGTATTAAGCGAAATACAACCATAAGATTGCTGAGATATTTGTAAAACTAGCTGAGAGACAGTCGAAACAAAGGACCCGCATGGTGTGGTGGTGAACGCGTTACTCCCCGGAAAGGGCAATAACGCGTTCGTTCCCAACCGCAGACACTTGCGGTCCGCAGTTTTGCAAATATATCTAAGCAATCTTGTGGTTATATTTCGCTTAAAATCTAATGTTCTCTAAGAAATATTGACAGCAACTTATTCGAAGTGGTGAATTCGGCTATGCAGGGATCGCGAAAACTGAGAATCCGGAAAAGTAAAATGTTGAAAAGTAATAAAACGGAAATCTGAAGAGCTCTTAGAGTTTTGCAGATAACTTCAATGGTGCTGAGATATTTGCAAAATTATAGGCCGCAGGTGCGTGGTGGGAACGAACTCGCTCCTACCGTTTTCGAGGGCTAATGCGTTCACCACTACACC